GGCATACTCTTAGGACTGAGATGAACACCAGCCAGTTAATTCTAGCAAAAATGTCATCTGATAACTAAAGGCAGCAGGTTCCATTTTCAAGGGAAAATTGTTTTGTACGCTCTGGCACCAGCATCTAGTTCTCATCACCTGAAGAGCCAGTTATTAACATGAAAGGCCAGCGCCTGATGGTAAACTCAAGGCTCCCCATTCCCAGTCTAGAGAGCCAATCCAAAAAGTTATAGGCAGCCCTGGCTGGTGTGGCTCAGTGGATTGAACACTGGCCTGTGAACCAAAAGGTTGCTAGTTTGATTTCCAGTCTGGGCATGTGCCTGGGTTGTGGGCCAGGTCCCCAGTTGGGGGCATGTGAAAGGCAAATATACATTGATGTTTCTCCCCCTCTTTTTCTCCTACCCTTCATCTCTGGCTAAAAATAAATAAAATCTTTTTTTAAAAAGTTACAGGCAAATGGCTAAAGAGAAGCTGAGACCTATGTGGTCTCAGGCAGCAAGGTCAGCACTGTGATCATAAGGGCATCTTTTGAAGATGTCCCCAGTGAACAACTCACCCCTGCACACCCAGATTTCCTCTAGGTAACATGCAATGTGTTGCTTCTTCCATTTGTTTAAGATTATAAAGGCACGATCTAGTTGATAATAAAACTTCGTAATCACAGGTTGCATTAATGGTAATTCCAAGGTCCAGATTGAGCCAGCAACTGGCATATCAGCACTCAGCACTGAGAGGACTGGTTTAGAATTATCTACTGGTGTTGGATTCTGGCCCAGCATATTAAGATGGGCACTGATATCTTGGTTTAAAAACTGGAGGAAGACACCCAAGTGGTGAGGTGTCTTCCTCACCAGCTGAGGAAATGAGGACTGGAGAAGGGAAGTCTTGGGTGCTGGTTTCAGGAACATGTAAGGTCACCCGAGGCACATGGCTTGGACTTATTCTGGGGACCTCCAGAAGAAGATGTGTAAATGACTTCTGCTCGATTTCAGCTTCGTGATAGAGCTGCGTTTCCCAACATGCAACATGCCCTGCCTGAATGTCTCAGGTACTGTTTGCTCTCATTCAGTTCCCTGCCTCCGTGGAGGGGATAGGAACCATGTTTTGTGTCTTTCCACCTCTCCTGGCCTCCTCTTTCGTGCTTATATGTTCCTCTACATAGTCCCATGTGTGCCAGTCTTCACTGCATCTTCTGAAATACAAACTTGTCCCACATGCTTATTATCATTATCGTTCTTGACAGTTACCCAGAGTTAAGAGATAACCATGACCCCTAGCACCACGATCCTCACCAAGAGTGACCAATCTGAGCCAATGTGTGTGAGGAGGTCAGAGGGGCCACTGAACTGGGCATTGAAGATAACATTGTACTAACCTCTAATCATATTAGCATTTACCACTGCCAGGCACTGTGCTCAATGTTCTGCATGCAGTTACTCACTTAATCCTCAGAGTAATTGAGGAGATGGATAATTTTATTATCATTTTATAAATGAGGCAACTGAGAGTCAGAGAGGCTAAACAACTTGTCTGAGAAACTCCCAGCAGTCTGACAAATCTGTAATATCCCCCAATAAATCCAGAATTTGCTGGAAGGGGAAAGATTGAGTGTGTGCACGAAAGTGGACAGGACACAGTGGTAGAGGGGATTTCTGCCAGGAAAAGTGTGTTCTAGAAGGGAATGGAAGGAGGGAGTAAGGAATGAGTAAAGATGAATCCTGCGGTAGCATAAAGGGCAACATGAACAGATGGCCTGGAGCGTCATACTTTGTCCAATTTGTTTCACTGAGTTAAAATTTGCTTTTTCCTGATTTTTCAATTCAGCATTTAAAACTATGAAGAACTCATGCCCTGGCCAATGTGGCTCATTTGATTGAAGTGTTGTCCCATACACTACAAGGTTGCAGGTTCGATTCCTGGTCAGAGCACACACTTAGTTTGCCAGTTCAATCCCTGGTTAGGGCACATACTGGGGGCAACCAATTAACGTTTATCTCTGTCATTGATGTTTTTCTCTCTCCCTTTTTGTCTCTCTAGAAAGCAATAAAAAAATGTCCTTGGATGAGTATAAAAAATAACGTAAACTATACGGAATGGTTGAGTTGCTATATATACTCCTTAACAGCTGTGTAGATCTATCCCAGCTTATGTTAAATTTGTGCATATGGCGTATACCCTTGGCACTGCTAAGTGAGCCTTTTCTCTATTTTTCCCATTCCAGTGGTCCTTCTTAAAAATAAGGCTTCAGTTCATTTCCAAACCAGTATCTGTGACGGTCTCCCTTTGTTTTGCTTAGGAACAGGTATGCTGTTGGCCAGGAAAACAGAAAGATGCTTCGGCCTGATCCCCTTTCTCCTCCTGATCATATTAACTGCCTCCAGAGTTGGGTAAATATAAATGCTGAGGCTCAGAAAGCAGAGCCATCGACAGATATTTTGGTAAAGGAATCTATAGTATTTTACTATTTTTCATACAGATGAAACTGATTCCTATTCCCCAAGCTTAGATATCTATTTGGAGTAAAAGGCAGGAAGAGAGGCCGTCCACTCTGTGGTTTCAATTTTTGTGTTGGTATCATTTAAATATATAATTTAATCTGCTTATGCTGGATTTTCTCCATTTGCCTATCTAAATCTACTCTCCCCCTGCACCATGGGCTTCCTGGGCTGCATTATCCAGGTTCCTCTTACTCTCTGGATTACGGTTGGGTTTAGCCAATGGGAGAAACCAGCAGACAAATAGTGAGTAGGAAGAGAGATGTTCCAGAAGGCAGTTCCTTCATTCCCTGCCTGTGGTTTGGCAGCAACTCTGCTTCCCCACCTCAGACCATAGCTCCTGCTGGGTGGACCCTCCTGCAGCTATCACTGGTTTCCAGAGGTTGCTGCTCTTCCCTTGTCTCTTCTGGCCTACGAGTGATAACAGAATGATAACAGTTTGTAAGGGATCCTTCACTATCCCTTGTTGATTCCCTAAACCTCAGGGTCTGTAAACATTCCTTTTGTTTCATAGCCCTCAGCAGCCCTTTTGAATGTGCCATCTCTTTCTGCTGGAATTCTCACCGATATATTTGACTCTTGGCAGAGTTTAAAAGATGAAACACATGAATTCCAAAATTAAACCACTCAGACTGACCTTTAATAGTACATACATTTTACAGTAAATAAAAAAATATAATTCAAGAAAATTCATTTATAATAAAAAAGTCACACAATCTACCAGAAAAAAAAGAGTAGCTTTCTGAAATACAAATTAATGCCCAATACATGGCCTTGGTCCCATGTATAAATTAGACTATGGCTTTTGGGAATTGCTAAGATAATATTTATTTCTATAGTGTATTTCATTTCAGGTGATCAAAATGCTTTATGAATTTTTAAAAACTCAATTATAATGCTGTTAGTGATTGGAGGTATGTTATAAATGTGCACTCAGAAAGGAAATCCAGTGAAGTTAAGTGTTTGATGAAGACAGAATAAAGTCATCAAATACTCAAGCTGCAACACCATCTGTACATAGTGGGCATTTAAGTGTACATATATAAATCAGTCATTTGCAGACAAGATTGCTTCTCTGTCTGTGAACAGCTCAAGTAGGGATCCTTCTCAAATCCAGAAAACCACTACATTGGCTTAAACTATCACATTTGACTAAGTGAAATAAATAAACCTCTGCTGAAGTGCGAACTAATATATTGTTTTTTTCCTTGATTCAAAATCCGAAATGATGTTACGTTAGCATTAGGACAATCCTTCTTTCCACATGCACTAACAGGAGCAGGCAGGGGTGCCAAAAGTTCAACTGAATCACCCTGAGAATGTGATGATGTGGATAGGATTTCCCTTCCCCACTCCTCAGGGCTTGTGACCTCTGCCAGCTTAGTGATTTGGTGCTGGTGCTGTTTCTAGAGTTTTGGTCTGGCTCTTGGTTGTTGTTGGTTCAAACCACTTTGAGATTCATATCTTCTAGAGATGCTTTCTACAGCTTCTAAGCAAACTCAGGTCCCTATAGGACCTTTGCAGAGTCGAGGCCATAATTTAGTACCAGAATTCCCCAGTTCTTTCTGGGAAAGATGATCTGGGGCCACAGTGAACCATCCAGGAATAATTTGGCCCAGAACAGACTGCTTATGCCCATTTCTGGACGCCTAAAGTTAGGGCTGGCATTTTGAGGTGAGTATCTGTGATAGTTTCTTTATCCATTCTCATTGCGCTGATTATCAGGGGCAAATAATAAAATCTAGGTCCTCTTTCATCACAATTTGTTTCTTTAATGTATCAGGCAAAGTTCTGTGTTTTCTTCTCTAACTGAAAATTCCCAGTAAACTTAAACAAGTATGTGATGAGATGGGATTAAAGAAAATAGTCACATATCCAATCCTAGTAATTTTTCTGTTACCTTCAAATTACCATTCATAGTAGGTGATTGACTCTTACATAAGATTTGTATCTCTGATTCCTTCTGTGTATATATCAGTGCAAACAAAATAGTCATTTAACACAGTGCAAGGAACAGGAGTAAACTAAGAGACAAAGCTCTAGAGATCCACCAGTTCTCTAATAAATGGATTAAATGGTTATACTTTGTTCTCACTAGTGATATTATGTCCAAGTTTACTATTTTAAGTTTTCAGGTATTATTCCAGATTTGGGGGTGGTGGTGAGGTGGGGGAAAGGATTATAAATAACAGTTCCATTTGGAGGGAAAAAGCCATTTGATAAAAGAAATCAATCTTCCACATTCCAAGTAACCTCAGAATGTTTGTATAGAAATCACCCACAAGCTTAATTAGTTCCATTTAGAACAATTTCTTAACTTTAGACAGAGAAGATTTACTTACATGTCCAGATCTTAGTTAAGTTAAATTTTGCCTGGTTTGTTTAAATTGGTAGAAAAGCAAATCATTTATTTATTCTTTTTAAAATAAGAGCTGATTTGACATAGATTGTGTCAAAACACACTGATGCCTAGAATGGTTTGGAAAAACTCTTAGTGATCATCTAGTTTGATAACTACTTATAAGAAATGGTTTTACGTAAGCAACTCGATGAGACTGGAAAAAACAAACATCCCTTTTTGTTTTTGTTTTGTTTTGTTTTGTTTTGTTTTTATAATGGCTATCCTGTAATAACACTCACTGAAAAAAAAATAAGATGGTTCTACTGTTTTAAAGATCACGTTAGGAAGAATCCTGTAGTACCAAGTACTTTACACTCTAATTTGCTATGCAACCATACTTTAAAAACTTGCGAAGTTAATTTTTTCTACTTATATTTTATTGGAAAAACATTATATCTACACTAACTATAAAGTGTTATTTGGGAGAATTCATTAGGTACTATTCCATTTTCAAAGTTTTGTTTCATAGTTTATTTTTGTGACATTTCAGATGAGCTTACATAGTAACTAAGATTACACAGTGCAAACTCACTGAAATATTTTGATGCTGAGTTTACACCATGTCGAGCATTTAGATTTAGAAATATATAAAGATATGATTCATTGTTACATGATTTTCTATATAGTATTAGTCAACCCGTGTTTCCTGGATAAAAATATAGGCAGATGAGTTTTGCTACAACACAATCCTCTTATAAAGTAGATGTTAGTTATGGCCTCAACATCAGCATTAAAGTGGTTCCAGTGTATCTGAAGAATTAACCATGTCCTTTCAGTTTTTAACATGGCTTCAGACATAGCCACATATACCCTCCACTGGAAACAGAATGAAGAGTATTAATCAGAATTAACTCTCTTAATAGTCTATTATTTCTTGTTGAGAGGAAAATTATGAAAAGTTTTCTCGATTAGTATTAGCATAACAGGCATTATAAAATAAATAATCTGACACTTTGACACACAGCTTCCAGAGGACCAGTGAAAAAGCTGAGCCTACCCCTCTATGAGTAACACTGTAGTCACTACCCCTCTATGAGTAATACATGCAAACATTGCAGTACAGAGTGCCTGCGAACTTCAAGCCTACTGGCCAAAGGAAGGGTCTGTTAAGCAATCACGAAACACGAGGCTTGGTTGCTTCAACATCTTGACTTCCTAGAGAATACATATGAAGGTTTTATCTGGTCTGACTGTACACTGTGTGTTTATAACATCAGTAACACAAAAGATTAATATAGAAAACACACAGTAACTATTTCAGGTTTTAAACAAATTACAAAACCACATGCTTTCTCATTCAGCAGGAAAGCTTAAATCAAAAGGCAACCGGGTCTTTAATGCCATTGGTTCCTCTAAAGCCGGAGTAACAAGCTCCAGGGGCAGCTTTTATGTCTCCTTCTGACACCTTCCAGGAAGTGCCTCCTTGTCAGCACATCTGCAGCCGAAACCACTGCTAAAATGTTGGTTTACTTACTGTTTTATTAGGGTAGCTTCAGTTTGTTTACAAACTAATTTTTTTCATTTCTCCAAGGAAGCCTTTCAAAATGATCTTCCAGATGCTAGCTAACTAAGCAGTTCTTAGCTATTGTCCACAAAGGTCAGTCTATTTACTGGCATTTGACCGTGTGGAACAGGAAGTTTCTGTTGCATCTTGTGCTCTTAGTGAAATCCGACAACAGAGGACTGAACGCATTAGTCTCAGAACAGAGGGCCTCAGGATGGCAAAGACCCAAGGGTCGATTATCGAGTTAATTGATAAAAATCTAAGTGCTTGGAGGTCCCACTTTTCTTTTCGGGAAGAGATTTCATTCATATATGCAAAAATCTGTAAGAAGCAAAAGGGGGAAATGATGTTAGTTTTACATCTCGGCAGTGGACAGGCTCAGACCATATGCAATTTTTCAAAATTTAGAAACGTGTTTTGTTGGTGGTGGTGGTGGTGAAAGGGGAATAGCAAAATCTCACACTTCTTCTATGTGTTTCTTCCTTACAAAAACTCTGAAACATAAGTATTATCTCCATTTGGCAGATGAAGAAGTGAACTTGAGGGAAGTTAATAACAACATGCTCCGTTTACTTCCAAATAACTTAATCTGACTTAATTATCACAATTCAACGTGAGAGGGTACACAAGACAGCCTGGGTTCCAGCCACTGGACTGCCCGGCTTTCAATCGGGCTCCACATAGAGCTTTGGGACCATAAGTAAAAAACTAACCTCTTAGTGCTTCAGTTACATCTGTAAAATAGGTGATGCCAATAATACCTCCTTCTTAGCTGGGAGGATGAAAGGAAGCAATATCTTTCTTCAAGCTACTGGAAACAGTGCTCACATAACAAGTGCCCCACAATGTAAGCCATTATCCCCATTTTACCAGGGAGGACACCCGGGGGCAGAGGAGTTAGGTGACTTGCCCAAGTTCCCAGGGCTGTTTGGTGGACCCCAGGGAGCTGGAGTCAAGACACAAATCCCAGCTCCCTTGACAGCGGTGCTTTGCTCACCAGGGGCTCCATCCTGGTCGTCCACATTAGAGCAAAGGTCTTCAGAGCTATGCCCTAAACACTGAAAAGTGGACACAGCTTCACATGTTGACCAGTGACCTCAAACTGATATACCAGCTCTCATCGGATTTCTTAGATATTTAGGGAGCAACACAGCTTTCGGGTCAGATAACGTGCTTGATAAAGATCAAACACTGCCACTCAGTTTACAGAAAAAAGGAAAACAGATGTAAACCACACCCAGCCACTTAAGACCACCATTCTTTATAATGCACCCGGACTTTCTTACCCATGGTAGCCCCTGAGTTAGAAAGCTAATCCTTCTTTCCTCCACTCTTCTTCACCAAAAGAAGGAATGTTTTTCTTTCCCTCTCTCCTGCTTACTCTGTGGCACCTGACAACTGGATATACAAAGCGAATTGCAGGGAGGCAGAAGAGCAGGCATCTTCGAGTTGCTTATGTTAGGACAATAGCAGCAAGGTTTGGCAGCCACAGGTGTTTATGCCAGAGAATCTTGGCATAGGGAATGGAGAAAAGACTTGGCAGATGAGTAAGGAAAAGGAAGAATTAATGGTGGATTTCCCAGATTATAGAAAGAAGAGAAAGTTAGGTAGGCAATAATTTTCTTGGCAGCTAAACTATTTTGGATGAAAAATATACAGGACTTATACGGTGTCTTTTAAGGAGAGATTTGGGAGCTTAGAAATCAGGATAACATTGTATATAAGTGTAGTTGATGAAAATATATTGGTCACACACACACACACACACACACACACACACACACAACTGAACACTCTGTAGCAGAAAAGTCTGAGTTTATAATCTAGTTTCCAAAGAATCCAGTAACACTGCACTGGCTGGCCACATGGGGAGTGTAGAAAGGGCTCGGGATTCCCGTGTCACAGCTTCACACGTGAAAATGAGTCAGGTTTTCAGTTCCTGATCTCCTTGGAGTGTGACAGAGCAATGAGAAGTGAAAAGTGGTTTTAGAGGATGAAGCAATTCTGTACTATTTGTTTCCTTTCCATTTCATCCACCATGTTGGGTGATTTTTGAAAATCCTTAAAATTTCAGGAGCTGGTCAATATTTTGCAGAGAACAATTTTTCTTTTACGCTTAGAAGAGAGATCTACTGCAGCAGCCCTTGAGGTTCTTGACATAAGCTTTGTCTTCTTCTTCTCCTACTTCCTCATTAAAAAAAAAAAGTTGGTTCTTGTCTTTTGCCCTGAGTTCATCATTCTGATCTTGTGGACCCTGCTTCTTTTAAATTATTATAAAATATATGTAACAAAATTTACCATTTTAACATTTCAACCATTTAACCAGTGCTACAACTCAGTGCCATTAAGTGCATTAACACTGTTGTTCAACTGTATTGTTTATATATTTTTTATTTTATATACATTATGATGCTTTGACATCCTAAAAACCTTTCTCGGTAGGTAGATACTGTCCCTTCAGGGATAGCCAGTTCTTGGAAACAGCCAGAGGCTCACTGGGGAGCAACCCTTTGATATGCAAACCAAGGAATCCTGAGCCTCCATCTGGTCCTATTCCCCAGGAAGCAACATTCCTCTCTTTGCCTTAATCTTCCCAGGGCTTGGTACCAGGCAACTGGAGAACAGCACTACAGCTTCGAGCCTGCTGAAATGATTTTAATAGCCAGTTCTACACTGGTCACCCTGTCTTGCTTCGCTTTTCCCTTGGAAGCTCCATTAAGGGCTGTGGCCCAGGCGCCTCCCAGCAACTGCTACCACTGCCTGACCTGCATTTGTCCTTTCCCATGTGGCCCTTGGTTTTGTGCATCCTTGTTTTTAGGACTTGGGAGTATGATGAATTTGTTTTCTTGAGACTCTCTTGTCTTCTCTTGTGGCCACACCTGACTGACCATCACGTAAAAGAACAGAAGAGCAACCATCACCAACTTCTACTTCCAGAAGGGAAGTAGATGAACTCTCTTCATCTTCCCAAACTGAAACTCTACCCATTTAACACTAACTCTCCATTCTCCTCCCCCTCCAGCCAATCCTGGTTTTTCATTAAAGGCTGACACATGCACATAAGTCAATTAATTAATGTTTTAATGATATGCTGCTTCAGAGGCTGGTAGAATTTATACATATTTTTGTACACCTACTAAGACATTTGCTATAAGAAAAATACCAAGTGCTAATCTAAGTGAGTCAAGTGAGTTTCAGTTCCTTAGGCCAGGCTGTCTCTGCGGGGCTTTACTGAGACTATGATGCCTACACAGCGGCACAGGTGAAAATAAGTGTTGGAGTTTTTTTTTAAATCTTTTATAGAATCCTTGCAGCCTCCCACAGAAAATTTCATGTTGGCACTGACTGGATGCTTTTTGTTTGAGACACTTTCCTACCAGCAGTATAACCACATAGTAGTTTTTTTTTTAAAGCAAATGAGAACTTTATCTAGCAGTTCATTGAAATTCATCAAAGAGCATTAAAAGTATTCTGATGGCTTGCTCCCTCCCTCAGAGACTCTGATTAATTAAATCTGGGCTGTAACATGTGTATCGGGTTTTTATCCCTGACCCCCCCCCCATGGGATTCTAAAGCCTGAAATAAAAACTAAAGTTGCACTTACACCTGGCCAATCAAACAAATGACTTTGAGCTCCCAGAATTCCTGATCATTAACATGCAATCTGATTTTCCCTTGGAAATTGAATCCTATGGAGATAGAAGCTAATATTTACTAAATACCTATGTGTGTCAGACATGGTGCTAAGCGATTTATAAGTCTTATTCTATTTAATCCTTATTTGAACCTGCAAAATATGATCATTCCCATTTCAGTAAGGAGGAAACCAAGGCTTACAGGGGTGTCCAACCTTTTGGCATCTCTGGGCCACAGTGGGAGAAGAGCTGTCCTGGGCCACATCTTAAATACACTGTGACATGTGATAACAAAAAAATCTCATAATGTTTTAAGTAAATTATGATTTCTGTGTTGGGCCACATTCATAGCCATTCTAAGCCACACACGGCCCGCAGGCTGCAGGTTGGACAACCCTGGAGAAGACTAGTTACTTTGTCCCAGATCAGGCCCCAGGTAAGTAGGGAAGCAACAGAGTCACACTCAAGCAGTGGGACCCAAATTTTCCTTTCAGCCACTACTCTGTTGCAAGTCTGTGATGTAAAGCCTCATATAAAATTCGCCACTGACTAGGTCTGTAGGAGACAACTTTTTGAAGGTGTCAGCAAGGTTTATGGGCAACACTGTTCCTGTTAAGAACCATGGCTGCATCTAAGTAGCTGCTTGGCTTTCTTGATGCTTTTCTTTCTCCCACTTTCCACATCTAAATTGCAGGCAGAGATCATTGTGTGTTTATCTCCCTTGTGAAATGCATTAGTAAGTATCCTGCCTATAGGCTTTGCGCAATTCATTCTTTGAAAACAAATTTCATGGAGGTATTTGATATTTTAAAGACATTCTTCCCCAAATCATAGGTGATTTGTGGTAGAGGGAGCAGGAGCCCAATTCCCTTCAGAAGGAAAGACTGAGGCATGGCTGTGGCTCCGGTACTAAAGGGTGTCCCCTGCCTTGTGCTGTAGGTGATCCCAGAGCCACACACAAAACAGTTAATGCTAAGGTTCAGAGCTCTGGGCCTGTGTATTCCAGAGCGGTGGCTCTAAACCCTCTGAGAAAATGTTGGATGCCGTGAACCATCTCCCCAGAACTCACATAAACACAAGATTTTGCAAATGATTTCAGAGTGGCCCATGCGCTCGCTGTCCACGGAGGGCAGGTTTGCAGGAAGTGTCAGCCTGCCCCGAAGGCACTTCCTGACCTTGGCCCATCCCATCACCCAGATGTCCCAACTGTAGAAGTCTTAAGTCTAGTTTTCTGTTAGAGGGGAGCAATTTTAGGTAGCAAAATAGTTTGAGAAAAATAAAGCTTGGTAGACCTTAATATAATTTGAGGTACAAGAAAGGTGAGCTCAAGATAAGGATGGGGAGTGGTGACCAAAAACTTCACAGGAGAGGATAGGAGAAGCCACAAAGAGATCAGGTTGCAGATTAACTCAGTCTTAAGCCTTCAGGTGGAAAGAGACTCTGATTGCCTTCCTGAAACAGTGTCTTCAGAGACCAATCACATACCATTTCTGTTCTTTTTTTTTTTAAAAAAAAACTTAATACTGTGATAGCCTCTTGTAAAACCAAAACAGAGATATACCATCCCTAAGCTGTTTTTCTTTAAGCTGATGTCTTAGTCATCGGAAACAGCAGTGATGATCAACACTTCTAAGGGTGGAGACATTAATGCACAACTTCTCTTTTGGGGAAAGGACTATGGTTTTTGTTGTTTAAATTAAAAATCCTCAGTGTAATTGTGTCTTTATTCACAACCACCATTTTATAATATTAAAGGGTAAAGGAAAAGATGTCATGTGAAAACACTCATATAGGAAACTTTCTTCTTGTAAAAAATATTTTGTAGTCTGGGATGGGGGTAAAAAGCAGAAAACTGTACTTGAACAACAATTACAAAAAAAAGAGTATTGTGTAGCTCTGTGGATTGAGGCTGATGTGGATCAGTGGATTGAGCACTGGCCTGCAAACCAAAGGATCACCAGTTCAATTCCCAGTCAGGACACATGCCTGGGTTGCAGGCCAGGTCCCCAACAAGGGGCACATGAGAGGCAACCAACCACACACTAATGTTTGTCTCCCTTTCTTTCTCCCTCGCTTCCCTTCTCTAAAATAAATAAATAAATATTTTTAAAAAAGTATTGTGTTTGTGTACAGATGATGTGTTGTGAAATGGTGCACCTGAAACCTGTATAATTTTGTTAACCAGTGTCACCCCAATAAATTCAATAAAAAGGAAAAATAAGTAATGTGCATGAAAACTATTTTGACAATCCCTAAACACATCATTAATGATGCATGAATGATAAAGGACCTTCCAGTGGTAAATGGATATTCACTTAAAACATCACCAAGCAAAGTTCATTATGGTTATGCATAGAGATTTCTAGATTGCTCTTTCATTTGTACTAGAATTGTGATAGTTTCCAATTATGTAACTGGTCAATTTTATGTCAGTTTTACAACCCCCATTCATGTCATAAAGAGTACCAGGAATGAACAGGAAACTGCAGTATTATTTACTTGAGTTTGGCCTGTAAGGCAAAGATCAGATTTCCACTAATCAGGTTTACCTGAAAAATATAGCCCTAAAGAATTTCTAAACCTGAAGAAATTTTTAGAATGAGTCAATGGTTTGCTCTTGAAATTTTAGAAGTGAATAAAATGCATAAGCACTTTATCCTAATGGCATGTGGGAAGCAGTTCAAAAGACCAGGAGTTACCGACAATCACTAGTCAAGTAGTAAGAAAGTGGCTTGACGTGGTTGGGAATGAAGACACAAACAGTATCTGAGACAAGAAGGGGGCCTGATATATTTCCTGCATTCTGTTCCATTTCTTGAAGAAAGTTTCTACTTATCTCTGTGAAATGATGACAACAGCTGATTAACATAAGGAGGAATTTATTAATTTATACAATATTCCTCTAGTGCATAAACAGTTTAGAATATGTTGTTGGTCTCATGAATGATTTCCTATTGGATAGCCAAAGTAATGTCATTTCATAAACAACTCATGCCTTTTTAAAAAATCACTTAAGAAATGTTTTGTGGTAACAATGCAAGATTTTACAGGAGGGGTAGCCTGATAATTTCTTAATTAAAAGAAATTCTGTTTATTTATTTTTAGACAGAGGGGAAGAGAGGGAGAGAAACATCAATGTGTGGTTGCTTCTCACATGCCCCCTACTGGGGACCTGGCATACAACACAGGCATGTGCCCTGATTGGGAATCCAACCTTTGACCTTTTGGTTTGCAGGCTGGTGCTCAATCCACTGGGCCACACCTGATTATTTCTTAATTTAAACATCATTTACATTAGCCAATCTCCTCAAATCTCAGTCTCAACTTTTTAATTCACAGATCTGTGGAGAAGTAAAAAGGAACTTACACACTTGGCCCCAGCCCAGGCCCCTTGATCCGATATGAAGTAAAAGGTCTTTCCCATTTTATTTTTAAAGCTCACAAATTGGAATTAAGGGGCAAAGTAGACCAGATATTTCTCACATCTTCACAATTCTCTTTGAAATTTTGAATTGATTTTCTCCTATGTTACCCTGCAATAAGCACTTCCTCTCTGATAGTGTAGTGGTTACATGCATAAGCTCTGTGTTTAAACTGCCTGGCTTTTGAATCCTTGCTCCAACATTTACCAGCTGTGGGACCCAGGGTAAGCTAATTGCCTCACCCACAGAATGGGGATAATAATACTATCTATTTCACAGGTTGTTGTGAAGGCAATAGGTTAGTGTATGTAAAAATTAGCACTCAAAAATGTTAGCCATTTTGATGTTGATGAAAATAATGATATTGAGGTTGAATCTGACTTCATTACAGGACTCTGGGTATTTTACATTTTGATAGTTTCACTTCCCAGACTTTGGAAGTCCTAGACTGGGATTCTTGGAGATTGTAGTAATTCTAACCTGCCCACACCTTGGGACAACAACGTTAGTAGTTTCAGGTTTCCTAAATCCCCACTCTCTTCCTTCCCCCTCTCCTGGAGTGCTGGAATAAGCTGGCGTCCCACTGGGCACTGTCTTCCTTGCTGAGCCACTTTTAAGGGACATAGAAAGCAGCTCTGGCAGGACCAGGCTGAGATAGGGTCACTTGTCAGTATTTTCTGGGATGCAAGGGAAAAAATTAGTTTGAATAGTTCATTAATAACTTTTTTTTACCTTGCGTATATTTTAAATTGATGATATTTTGTATAAATTGAGTTAAATATATTGATTAAAATGAATGTTTCTTTTTAATTTTTGCTGTGTGGTTTCTAGAAAATTTTAAATTCTGTATGTGGCTCACATTTGTGGCCCATACTGCATTTCTGTGCGTCTGCTTGTGCTCTGTGAGAGGAACAGAGAAGTGTCTGAAGGCAACCGCAAGCCTTTCCCCTGTCTAACAGTTGGGAGGTGTGGAAGTGAAGCCCGCCTCAGGCGGGAGATTGGTGCACGCAGTTCCTGATCACAGGTTTAGGGTGGACCAATGAACCAAAAAGACATGGGGGGGGGGGAGTGTCCCACGGGGCACATGGCAAGCATTTTGCGATAGCAGAATGTAGGCATCAAACAGTGGCCATGAGTTTGAATTATCAGCTAAGCCCTCCAAGAAAGAACTTAAATTGAGGTAGTATAGCATTTCATAGGCTTTAAAGTGCTGTGTAAATGAAGACACTAACAAGTACCAAGAATCCACTGACAAAATAATCTTCATCTAGCTCCACCCCCCATGCCATAAACAGGCACTTTAAATAAAAACACAGCTTCAGAGCGAACCTCTTACTCCCCCACTCCTTCTAACCAGACTTCTAGCTCTAAGTCCCTTCATAGCAGCAACTCTGGAACCGCCCCTGGCTTAATATTAAATGAGGGGGGAAATGTGTGTGTGTGGATTCATATATATTCAAATATATAAAATATACATATATTTGAAAATTAACATATTGATGTTGGAGTCTTCATGATAAAAGGCAAATTTACTTAAAAGAGGGGAACCTACTCCCCCAAAAGTTGATTTAATTCCTAACATAATCTCAATGTCCTATCGGTGAAACAAAACAAACCCATAGAAGCCGTGTTGGTTTCTACATCACAGCATTTCTGTTGCACAAACTTCCTGGGTGTGAGTGGAATGGGGTTGCAGCCTCCCACAATCCTACTTCATTGAATAACATGGTACATTGTACACACCCCATCTCATTTCCCCCCGAAGTGTAACTTACTGATTCCATTTAGCTTATGTCCTAACAGAGGGTGGGGCTGAAGTGTGTGCACAGTGGGAACCAGGGAGAAGAAAATATAGCTAAGAAAACGAGTTAATTTGGGGCAGGGGAGGGTCATATCCAGGCTTTTAGAACCCTGTGTTCTTTCCCACCCCTGAGGATGAGCACATGAATATAATCAAAGCCAATGATGACAGTGGGAAGTAAGATAAAGTTACTTCCTCAGTTTCTACAGGTCGGACCAGCTAATGGCAGGCACTGTCCATTCGCTTTTTTTTTTTTTTTTCCTACAAGACTGTGGCAAGTGGGAATCACTGACAACTACTTACTCCCTGCAGGGTCAGTCTTATTATTCGGAAGATTATGAAGTAGAGCTGCCCAAACTTCCAGTTCCCACATCTTTGTAAGAGGCCAGCCCACCCTCAGACATACCCCTGGCTCTGTATGGCCCAAACTCACAGCTTTGCAGAACTAACTCCTGAAGTTGCTCTGCACCAGGACAGCACCCAACCCAGTACCCAGGCTCCTGGCCTTCAGTTCTCCAGATTGGCTCTGGCCTGCGGGTCATGGCAAGTGCTGGACATGCCTACCTCTCCCATCCCTGAGATGGACCAGCCATTCCTATTGTGGTTTTGTGCTCATAAAAGTGTACAATTATAAGTTGAAGAGCGCCTGTATATATTTCTGACAGTGACATCAAGAAGATAGTTTGTAAGAGAGTACAAATGCCTCCTCTAGAGGGATTTCAAAAGCTCACCAAGGGGTTACTCCAAGCAACCAGCCTTTCCTGTAAATATCATTACAGACCTATTGTATTATGAGTTTTCATGGCCACAAAGAGTTACACTACCAATATGTAATTTAGAAAGCCTATAAAGTTGAAGGTGTTTCTGGAACTTTGAGGACAATAATGAATGCTCTGGAATTCTGCAACAGGGACCCTTCTCACCCCAGACCATTCTCAATGGCAGCTACGGGTTGGGTACCACGTTTTACCCCGTGTGAAACAGCAGGCAGTTATGGAGACTAGCACTAGTGTGTGGGAAGGGGGTACCAGGAGGCAAAATGCAGCTCAGAGAAGTCAGTTTGTTATTGTCAACCACCCAGAGGGGGAAGGGGCTGCCTCCTCCTCAGATGCTAAGCCAAGCTAATTTGGGGGGGGGGGGTTGCGGTGAGGGAAGGGACACTAATAACAGGCCTTTGATGCCAGGATGGGGAGCTTGGCTGGCTTAGTGAGTGCCAAGGCTCCCTGTCAGCGGGACTGTATTACTGTATGGGAAACACTAACCTAGAGAGGCCCATGCGCCAGGGTTAGTGGGGAAAGGAAGTGGGGAAAGGTGAGAAGCAACAGGGGAAGTCTACAGATTAGGACACGTTTTCACAAGTTGTGAAAGTTTGTGTGGCAGTGGAAAGGGTGGAACTGAGAGAGCGTGTGAGAAGGCTGTGCAGAGCTGGTCTGTGGAAACGAAGTGAGTGACTTACTGTGAAAGGCAAGGAACAGACGGCGAAGGTGATGGTCATAATAGCAAGGAGAATAAGGTGGTCTGTCTCCTCCGCCATGGACACCCTTTCCCCTCTCCTGCGGGTCCCAGGGCCTCCCCGGCTGCCCACGGAGGGTCCACAGCGGCTTCTCCTGCTCCGGCGGTACATGCGGGTGAGGTTGACGATGACGCTGAAGTTGCAAGCGAGCACCGCCAGGATGAGGAGCAGCAGCAGGGTGGCGTACAGCTGCAGGTACGTGGTGCTCCCGTGCTTGAGGAAGCACCACGTCCCAGGGCAATACTGGACGTACTGCTCGGAGGCCAGCAGCGGCAGAGAGCAAAAGAGCAGGGAGACTACGTAGATGGCCGGCAGCACCGCCAGGCCGCTGCGGCGCTTGACGTGGCGCTCGTAGAAGTAGGGATGCCCGATGGCTAGGTAGCGCTCCAGGGCCATGGCAAAGAGCATGAGCATCGTGGCCAAGCTGAAGAAGGTCATGGCAAAGGCGAAGTAGGTGCACGCACGGCTCTCTGGCGCCAGTGCCACCAGGGTCTGGTTCCGTGCATACGAAGCCAGAACCACGGGGCTGATGAGGCAGGTCCCGAGCAGGTCGGTGAACACCAGCTCGGTCACCAGCACGTGGAACAAGGAGATGGAGTTCCCGCGGCAGGCGCTGCGCCCCGCATCCCCCAGCCAGCGGCGCGCCAGCAGCGCCAGCGCTATGAGGTTCCCCAGTACCCCGGCCGAGAACATCACGGAGCTGATGGCTGGGCTTTCGCCCGAAGGGAGCCACTTTCGAGTCTCGCAGTCCTCGAAGCGGGAGTCATTGGAGGTATTGTCCATGGTGGGGTGCCAGGAGCAAGGATGTGTCCTCCTCTCTCGGCTTCTACCTGGCAGGAGGGTCTGACAGCCGGAGCGCTCCGGGACCCGGAGAGAAAAGGGGAGGGATCGAAATCCAGAACCCCCTTCCGGCCCCCCGGCGCTCCCGAGGGCTGGCTCGACCCAGGTCTCCCACAGCTGCCGGAGGGGCAGCTCCGCTGCAGCATCCGGCCAGCGCTCGAGGCTCCTCCGACCTGCGCCCGCCGGGTGCCTAGGAGGCTGCTGCCTTCTCCTCCGCGCCGCGCGTGCTGAGCTCAGTGTCACAGGTGTCCGGGGACAGGCGCCCACGAGATGTCCCGGGGCACTGTGCTAGCCCCACGGGCGCCAGCCGGGAGTGGGAAGGGAGAGGGTCCGGGTACTGGCCGGGAGCACCGCTGGGCAAGAGGTTTGCTGGCCGCAGGCGTCTGGGAGCTGCTTGCGTCCAGCCGGAGCGGTGTTTCTTGCTCCGCTCCCTGGAGTCTGGATGCTTGAAGCCGCCCAGTCGTCTGGCCTCCTCTAGGAAGCGTTTGCCCTTTGCAGAGGGATGGAGGGCAGCAACGGGGAAAGCAAAACTAATTACCAAAAAAGAGAGAAGTTAGGAAAACCCAGTCCCGTGAGATGTTAAAAAAGAAGAGAGTAACAGACACCAAAGACATCTTGCAGTAAGACCAATATGCTCTTTATCTTCTTCTTCTTTTAACATTCTCAGGAAGACACACTAAGAGGGCGGGACCCACGCTGGGAGGAAGTGGGAAGCCAGCATGTCCATCCAATCAACCAAACCATGCGTGCCCCTGAGCTGCCTGTTGCACTATTGCTTTTGTTTGGTTGCCACCATTTCACCTTTTCCTATGCCAACACCATAACGGCTAACCAACCACTTGTTTAAGCAACCATTTTTTTTTAAAAAGAAAAAAAAAAGATTCTTGAACTTGTGGAGAATTTTTTATGGACACAGCTTTAACTACTGCACATTGTTCTCTCCTCAAGCTCTGCCTTGAAAGAAAAGGTTGCTCAGCCATTAATTTTTTCAGTTAACCATGGCGTATCCAGCAAGACCCATTCCTGGTAAAGTTTATTGGTTAAGTGGTCAGGTTAAGAGACTGCAACTGACAAAAATGGTTGCTTACCATCTATCGTCATACTTGCAGAGTCCTGAAAATGGGCTTATGTGTGACCAAAAACAAGTCCAGTGCGACAGACAGGAGTAATCATATTCTACAAGGAAGGTCTTAATCACTCTGGGGAAGGGAGAAGGAGAGAAAGGTGGAAGGATTTGCATAGGAACTGGCAAGAGCTGATGAAGGAGTCTATGAAAGGCTGTTTGTTCTCTTTGGTTCTAGTGTTGAGCCCAAAGTCACCATAGGTCAGCCAGGAGGCAGTCAGGGTAGAAAGCTGGACTTGGATGAGAGCAGATTCATCACGTTGGAGCAGAGGAAAGATTGCTGAAAAGCACACTTCACTAGAGTCTACTTGCTCCCCAAGGATACCTTAGCTCACATTGTTAATTTGGGCCTCAGGATTGGAATGGGGGCCGGTTCCCAACAGGGCAAACCAAGGGTGTTCTCTTTTTCTCATGTAAGAAGTTCAACAGCGGCAGGTTGGTGAGCCTCCCCCGGCGGCTTTTCTCCAGCCCTATTATTCCTGCTATGCTGGCTTTCTGTCTACATGCTCTTCCCCACCTGGTCACCAGTTGCTGCCTCTGTCAGTCAGGATTCGACCAGAGGAACAGACCCACTGAGTGATAAAGAATGTGAAATTTATTGTTAGACGCTAGACCTGTGTCCTTCAATATGGTCGCCACTAGCCACAGGTAGCTATTCAAATTTAAATGAATTAAAATTAAGAAAGAATAAACATTTTATTTCTCAGTTGTGCAAGGTATATGTCAAGCGCTCAAGAGCTACATGTGCCTAGTGGTCATCATATCAGCAGCTCATATATAACACACTGTCATCTTCACAGGGGTTCTACTGGACAGCACTCACATGATTGTGGGAGCTGATGAAAGAGTCTATGAAAGGCTGTTTGCTCTCTTTGGTTCCAGTGTTGAGCCCAAAGTCACCATAGGTCAGCCAGAAGGCAGTCAGGGTAGAAAGCTGAACTTGGATGAGAGCAGGAACAGACTTGTAACCCACAGGGGCAAACTGGAATTCATGAACAACTGGAATCCTCAAAGACAGACTGGATCTGCATGTATTTCTCACTACCTCCAACCTTGATAATGCAGGAGAAGCTAACACCCTTCATGGAACTGCGCATGCACTTGACTTAGGACTTAGAGAGACTAAAGAAGGAGATATGGCGGGAGCTGGAATCTAGGTGCTGCCTCATGACAGCAAGGTGAGCCAGCAGAGTTACCACCTTGCCTGGAGCCCTGCATTGTCTCCCAGAGCATGAAAACCATGGCTGATGCTTGGCTGCTGTCTTCCAGATCTTGTGCATCATTTCTCTGAGACCAACAGTAACCCATGCAGGATTCTGGAAAACAGACCCTGCTTAGCTGAGTTGACATTGTACAAAGTCACCACAACTACCCAGCAGCTCCAGGCATCAAGTCTGCATTGAAGGCAGCAGGGGAGGGAGAGACAGCACCTGCAAGTTTGCTCTGTCTTGTGCCTGTTTCTTTTTTTTTTAATATTTTATTTATTTATCTTTAGAGGGGAAGGGAAGGAGAGAGGGAAACATCAATGTATGGTTGCCTCTAGTGGGCCCCCTGCTGGGAACTGGCCTGCAGGGAACTGGCTTGCAACCCAGGTATGTGCCCTGACTGGGAATTAAACTGCGATCCTCTGGTTCGCAGACCTGCGCTCAATCCACTGAGCTACACCAGCCAGGGCTTGTCTTGTGCCTGTTTCTTTCACCAGGAGAGTGAAAGGTTTTCGAAAAGCATCCCAATACACTTTCCTTCTCATTTCATTAGCCAGAACTAGGTAAAATGGACAACTGTTAGCTCTAAAAAAGGCTGAAAAGGGGGCTGAAAGAGGCTGAAATTTCAACATTTCCAGCCTCTTCTAGATAAGAGGCAGGCAAGGAATGGCATTGTGTTAGTCAACCAACAGTGTCTGCTGCAGATCTACACAGTGCATTACCCACTGTCAACTCCTGATATTAGCTGGAAAGGAAGCTTGAGAATAGCTATTCCAAGAATACCCATTTCATTCACATCTGAAGAAACTGAGGCATAGACAGGCTGGGTGGCTTACCCAAGGACACCAAGAGTTAGTGCAATCAATATAACTAAGAGTGTGGAAGCCATACCATCCAATTTATATCTCAGGCCCCTGTGTATTGCCTATTTTGTCCTTTTAAGGCCCTAAAGGAACATGTGGCAAGATACCAAATCCTCAGCACTGAACTCGAACTCATTGGCAAATCACTCAAAACAATTTAAATGTTACTTTGTGACTGACACATTGGTAAAGTTTGAAAAGATTGCACATACCCAGTATGACCAAAGATGGAAATGGTTTCCAGACTGACAGCTGTCAGAGGGGAGGGGAATTGGGGGATGAGTGAGAAAAAATAAAGTGGTTAAACAGCAAAATATATCTGTAAAACACATAGACACAGACAACAGTATGGTGGTAGGCAGAGGGAAAGCCGGTGGAGGAAGGTGCGAGAAGGCAGAGTGGGGACCAACGGGGACAGAAAGAGACTTTAGGAGATGAGCACACGATGCACTATGCAGATGATGTTTTGTTGAGTAGTACCCTTGAAATCTGTATGGTTTTGTTTACCAATGTCCCCCTGGTTTAGTTCCACCAATAAACTAAAAAATAAAGATGGCAATGGTCTCACTGTTGGTGAGAGTAGTGGGTACAGCCTTCCTGGTGGGAATAGTTCATTTATTATTAAAAAATTTGAATATGCTTTAGCCCAGAAAAAATCAAATGTATTACCCCAAGGAGACATAAATGCACAAAGATTTTACACACACACACACACACAAAGAAAGCAGAAGGAGCATTCCTTATTGCAAGAATCTAGAACTGAATGCCCTCTCATAGAGGACTGGTTTAATACATTCGATATACTTATGCAACAGAATACAGTCATTAAAAATGGTGATGTGTGTCTACATTTATTAATAATGATGTTTATTATCTGTTGATTAAAAGCATGTATACTATTTCAGTCACATAAAATTACATGCATAGGTATTTGCATAGAGAAGCATCTAGAAGGATGTTTAGCAAAATATTAATTGTAATTTCTCTTGGTAGTGCTTTCTTTTTTATGCCTGTCTCTCTTGGTTGATTTTTTTTGTCTACATATGAAAAGAAGCTGTTTTTTATTTAGAAAAAATTAATCATTGGAGGAGACTGTGTTTTCTACTTGGCTAAAGGCAGAAAGTTAGATGCTAATGTTTTAAACTCTCTTCCAGTTCTACACTTTAAAGAGTGAGGGGGTCTTGTGCTCTTGAGTGAGGAGGAGTTTGAGACTGATGGAGAAGATTGGAGGTGCTGCTATACATTTTCACAAGGATTTTGTAATTCTCCTACTTATCTGTAATTCTCCTACTCATCATACATTATTCACATTTTCAGATATGGTGGCCTGTCCCACTTCAAGTGACTGCTTTGTCATTAGATCCTTGTCATCCCTTAGTGTCATTGCTTGACCCAGTTGACACTACCATCACCAGGAAGTCCCTCTCTTATAAAGGTGGTAACAAACCAATCAAAAGGTCAAAAGTAAAAAAAAAAAGCAGCCAATAGAAACCAATTTCAGGATACGTTCAAAAAATTAAGGGAAATTGTGAGTAGGTGGGCAAAGAATCTTCAATAGAGAAAGAGAAACTATGAAAAAGAACTAAATGGAAATTCTAGAGCTGAAATTCATAGCAGCTTGGATTTGGCAGAAGCAAGGGTGACCTTGAAGATCAGTCATGTTTGGTTGCCTTTCTTTCCATGTCACATTAGTTTTGTGCTCATGGGAAATATTCTCACTCTTTCCACACCACGTGAAGCTTAGATGACTCTTTTCTCCTACCTGTCCTGTTTCTACCCAAGCAGTGAAGCATCGGTTTTCTATGCTCTCAGATCCCTCAGATCTCTCTGAGATTTGGGGGGTACAGAGACACATTATCTAGGAAGGTCTTATGTCAACATCTTAGCTCTTGTGTTCTCTTGTACTTTACCTTCCCTCCTTCACAGCCTCACAGCCTATGGAAGTTGTTGGGCAGAGAAGTGGTACAATTTTGCTCTTCCTCATCTCTGATCTGGGCTCCTCACACCTACTCTTTCAAGTCCTAAGTCAAGAATTGATGGCCACGTTGTGTTACATTGTCCTTTCTCTGAATCAGTAAGCATAGAATGCTCCAGCTGCTGCTAAAACCAGAGAAAGGTCTGGAGCATCAGGAAGTACTGGGCAAAAAATACATAGGTTAGTGTGCCAAGTTAGTATCCGGCCACCTTTGCATTCATGTAGGCGTGTGTGTGTATTCAAGAGAGCGGGGTTTATTACAACTTCACAAAATTGTTTGAGAAACAATTTGATAAAGTCTTTGCAAAACCCTGAGTCAATAAAAACTGTTTTACAAATGGATGTAAGAGTACAACAGTTCTCTTGTCCTCAGACGGGAAATACCAGAAAGGCAAACCCACAACACTGCTTGTTAGCACCAGAAATTAGATCAAATGAATCACTCCAATAATGTTAGGAGGACAAATTGCCTGTGGTTCAGAATTTGTTTAAGATTGATAGAGCACAAAGAACCCAATATGATTATGAAAATTCTCTTAAAAAGGTTTGTTTTTAAGGATAGAATGAACTATGAAACAGTAAAGCACATTTAACACAAAAATAAGGCTATGGTTGTTCAATTTGTTTGTACAGAGTAATGACTGATTACAGAAATTTTGGGAAAAAAGAAGAAGAAAAGTCACCTATGAATGTATCCATCAAAAATGGGCACTCCTAACATTTTGATGTTTCCTTCCATTTTTCTTCTATATGCTTTTGTTTCCATCCTTGTGGTAATATTATTGATAATTTTATACTGCTTTTTAGAAATCTTAAAATTATAATGACTAACTTACATTACAATATGTGCATGCTCTGAGATGCATAAATCACATTTTTAGAATACTAAAATCCATTATTTTAGTCACTTAGCCACGTATTTACTGAGGCAGCACAGGATAGTCTCCGGAGCATGTATGCTGGAGTCAGATGGCTTTGAACTCAAATTTTAGTTCTGCCCTTGGACAAGTTACCTCATTTCAATGTGCATCAGTTCCCTCATCTGTAAACTGGGGGTGTGGCAGTACTTACCTCATAGGCTGTGGTTGAACTGAGGGCCTGGCTCATAGGAATCACTGAGCAGATGTCAGCTGTTTCATTATTGAGCTGGGTCCTGAGTGATGCTAATATGGCCCTGCCCTAATGAAGCTCATAATGAGATGATGATAATAATAATAAAGGCTATAATTTATCTATCAAGAACTTAGTATATTCCCTAAACTGTTAAAGTCTTCATATACATGATCTCTTTAATTGTTTAAAATGTTGTGTTCTTTTCTTAAAATTGAAGTATGATTGACATACAAAGAACTGGGTGTATTTAATATATACATTCCTACTTTAGATGAGAAAGGCGAAGGGACTAAGCAGTACAATCCGGCGGTTCCAGAACAGCCACAGAGATGTGAGTTACAGCATAAGAAGTGTGGTCAGTGATATCTGGGTGCGTATGTGTGGGACCAGGTGGGTACCTGAAGCATGGGGGACCACTCTGTAATCAGTACGTGATTTTCTAACAATTTTGCTGTATTTATCATTCATTTTTAAAAGTGTATAGGAAGGGTCAGAGATATTCTCATTTTACAGATGAACAAACTGAGGCTAAAAGGATAAATGCTTCAAGTTGTAAGTATAAGGAAGTTATTTTCAGTATTGTTTACATATTACCTTTAGAAACTAACTAAATGTCCAGTGGAAGGGAATTCTATAAATACATTAGGTATACCTGTTCAATGAAAATTTTGCAACTATTGAAACATAGAGCACTGCACTTATTTATATGGGTAGATGTCTACAGTGTTAAATGAATGATGCAAATCATGGAAGACTATGTATGATACGATTTCATTTCTGTAAAAATAAACACTGAAATATATGACTGATGAACTTTCTTTTTTAAAATTTTTTATTGATTATGCTGTTACAGTTGTTCTATTCCCCCCTTCATTCCCCTCCACCCTACCCCCATCCCCACCATTACCCCCCCTTTAGTTTATGACCATGTGCCTCAAGTTCTTTAGATTCTATATTTCCCATGCTATTCTTGCCCCATCTATTTTCTATCTACTGTCTATGCTACTTACTGTACCTTCTGTATCTTCTCCCCCCTTCTCCTCCTCCCACTCCCCTGTTGCTAACCCTCCTTGAGATCTTCATTTCTATGTTTCCACTCCTGATCTAGCTGTCCTTTTAGTTTGCTTTTGTTTTAGGTGTGGTTGTTAATAACTGTGAGTTTGTTGTCCTTTCACTGTTCATGTTTCTTTAACTTCTTTTTCTTAGATAAGTCCCTTTAACATTTCATATAATAAGGGCTTGGTGATGATGAACTCCTTGAATTTGATCTTATCTGAGAAGCACCTTATCTGTCCTTCCATTCTAAATGAAAGTTTTGCTGGATAGAGCAATCTTGGTTGTAGGTCTTTGGATTTCATGACTTGGAATACCTCTTTCCAGCCCCTCCTTGCCTGTAAGGTCTCTTTTGAGAAATCTGCTGACAGTCTGATGGGGACTCCTTTGTAGGGGACTGTCCCCTTAGCTCTTGCTGCTTCTAGGATTCTCTCCTTCATTTTAATTTTGGCTAATGTAATGATGACGTGCCTTGGTGTGTTCCTTCTTGGGTCCAACTTTTTTGGTACTCTCTGAGCTTCCTGGATTTCCTGAAAGTCTATTTCCTTTGCCAGATTGGGGAAATTCTCCTTTATTATTTGTTCAAATAAGGTTTCCAATGGTGGCTGTGCCTTTCCCCCTTCTGGTACCCCTATAATTTGGGTATTGGAGCATTTAAAGATGTCCTGGAGGTTCCTGAGACTCTCCTCATTTCTTTGAATTCTTGCTTCTTGACTCTTTTCTGTTTGGCCATTATTTGCTTTCTTCTAGTCCACTCCATTGATTTGAGTCCCAGTTTCCTTTTCATTGCTATTGGTGTCCTGTGCAATTCCATTCATTTCAATTAGTTTCGCCTTCATATATTTGTCTAATTTGTGGCTATAATCAACCAGTTCTGTGAGGATCCTGATCACCAGTGTTTTAAACTGTGCGTCTGAGAGTTTTGCTATTTCTTCATTGCTTAGATTTATAGGCTCTGGGGCTTTGAGATCTTCTTGAGCCATTTTTGGTCTGTTCTGGCCCTTTAAGTGTGAGGAGCAGCGCCTTGGACTCCCAGGTCGCTGGGTTGTGACGCTGATGTGGGGGCGTGGTCAGAGCGGGGAAATGGCAGCACCCTCTGCTGTTTCACGCCGCTGGGTGAGGAGCAGAGCCTTAGGTGTTTCACCTGGGCCGGGCCACTCAGAGTCTCTGGGTTATGACGCTGTATGTGGGTCAGAGCAGGGAAATGGTGGCGCCCTCCCTGCCGCTGCCGCGGGGACCAGCTGGGCCCCGGTCCAATCGCCCACTCCCTCGCTTGTCTATCCGTGCACCAATGCGCGACCACAGTCAACCCGCAGCCCTGCTTCCTCGCTGTTTCCCTGCGGTCTGGCTTGGTGGCTCGCTCGGTCGCTCACTAGGTCCAACCCTGCGCCTGGATTCCATGCACCTGAGTCCGTCTAACCGAGTTTTCCTGTGCAACCCCGCTCTACCAGCTGCTGGTTTCGCCCCTTACCGGTCAGGCTGAAGAATTTGTTGTTAACAGACTTCCGAAAAGTTCAATTTTCTGTGTTCTGACTGTGTTTTTTGTTGCTAATATTTAGTTGTCTCTAAACTTGGTTGTGTGAGAAGGCACGGCATATCCACCTATGTCTCCATCTTGGCAGAAGTCCTCGACTGATGAACTTTCCATCAAGAATAGGTTCATTATATACTCCCCAATGTCAACTTTTCTTTATAAATATCAAATGTGTTAAAATTTGGCTTATTAAAAGATCAATGATTAATTTTTTAAAAGTTGCTACCACCGTAATAACTTATAAATATTTAATATGTATGTATTAATATGTAATAGATAACTGTATCAGTTATCCATTTCGGTATAACAAATCACTCCAGAGCTTAATGGTTTAAAGCAGTCATTTTATCTTCTCATGATTAGTGGTTCAGTGATGTCAGGCTGGACTCAGCTAGGTGGTCCTGTGCCAGTCAGAATGAGATCGTTCTAGTGGCTGAAGTTATCTGGTGGCTATGCTGGGGAGCAGTTGGTCTAGAGGCTTCAGTGCCTGCAGGTTTGTAGGGCTTGTCTCGTTTCCCAGCAGGCTGGCCTGAGCTGGCTCCTGTGGTGGCGTGGTGTCTAGCAGGGTGAAACTGGAAACAGTAAGGCCACGACGTGGAGGTTTCACATCACCATGTCACCACATTCTGTTAGTCAAAGTCAGTCCCAAGGGCAGCCTGGATTCAAGGGGCTGGGAAATAGGCCCCGTCTTCTGATGAGTGAAGCGTGTACGTGGGATGGAGGTATTATTGCAGCTGTTTTGTAAACAATCTGCCACTTTTACTATGGAATCTATACTTATTATAACGACTAGGTTTAACATAACAGCTCTATTTTATTTAACATTAAAAAGAAAAGTATCACTCATAGAAAAATTCCACTTGTTGACCATGCTTTCATACTTTGAACTCCTGATTGATTTTTCACTGTCAGAAACTAGCTATTACTTGACATAATTTTTAAAAAGGGTGAAAGATGAGTTTATGCCTTGGAGGTTGAGCCGCTTCTATTTCTCCATTTCTGTTACCTGCCCTCAGGAGCCATCTGAAGTATCACAAACAAAGAAATACCAAATTCCCATTACCCCTTCTTTCGAGTTTTCATGTTTTTTTTTCCTGTGAGAAATAGGATGAAGGGAAATTCTATTTTACAAAAGAATGGTATCCAAGAATGTAGAAGAAATGATAGAATTAGAAAATCATCATTCTGTCACCTCTATTAAAATGATAGATTTAGGATATTCAATTGCTATTAAAATATTTAAATCCATAATTGATGAGAAGTAGACATTCTTTTTTTAAATATATTTTATTAATTATGCCATTACAGTTGTTCTGTTCCCCCCTTCATTCCCCTCTACCCTGCACACCCCCTCCTCCACCATTCCCCCCTTTAGTTTATGAACACGTGTCTCAAGTTTTTTAGATTCTATATTTCTCATACTATTCTTGCCCTCCCTCCTATCTATTTTCTACCTACCATCTATGCTACTTATTTTCTGTGCCTTCTCCCCTCTTCTCCTTCTCTCACTCCCCTGTTGCTAACCCTCCATGTGATCTTCATTTCTATGGTTCTGCTCCTGATCTAGCTGTCCTCTTAGTTTGCTTTTGTTTTAGGTGTGGTTCTTAATAACTGTGAGTTTGCTGTTCTTTCACTGTTCATCTTTTTTATCTTCTTTTTCTTAGGTAAGTCCCTTTAACATTTCATATAATAAGGGCTTGGTGTTGATGAACTTTTTGAATTTGATCTTATTTGAGAAACACTTTATCTGCTCTTCCATTCTAAATGAAAGCTTTGCTGGATAGAGCAATCTTGGATGTAGGTCTTTGGATTTCATGACTTGGAATACTTCTTTCCAGCCCCTTCTTGCCTGCAAGGTCTCTTTTGAGAAATCAGCTGACAGTCTGATGGGAACTCCTTTGTAGGGGACTGTCCCCTTATCTCTTGCTGCTTCTAGGGTTCTCTCCTTCATTTTAATTTTGGCTAATGTAATGATGACATGCCTTGGTGTGTTCCTTCTTGGGTCCAACTTCTTTGGGACTCTCTGAGCTTCCTGGATTTCCTGGGAGTCTATTTCCTTTGCCAGATTGGGGAAGTTCTCCTTTATTATTTGTTCAAATAAGTTTTCCACTCGTGGCTATTCCTCTTCCCCTTCCGGTACCCCTATAATTTGGGTATTGGAACGTTTAAAGATGTCCTGAAGGTTCCTAAGCCTCTCCTCACTTTTTTGAATTCTTGTTTCTTCATCCTTCTCTGTTTGGTCATTTTTTTCCTCCTTCTGGTCCACTCCTTTGATTTGAGTCCCAGTTTCCTTTCCATTACTATTGGTTTCCTGTGCATTTCCCTTCATTTCAATTAGTTTAGCCTTCATATGTTCCTCTAATCTGTGACTAAAATCAACCAGTTCTGTGAGCATCCTGATCACCAGTGTTTTGAACTGTGCATCTGAAAGTTTGGCTATTTCTTCATCACTTATATTTATCAGCTCCAGGGCTCTGAGTTCTTCTTGAGCCATAATGTTTTGATCTGTTTGTGCCTGTTACGTTTGAGGAGGTGTTCACCAGGGCGGGGCCACCCAGGTCGCTGGTTTGTGACGCTATATGTGGGGGCAGGGTCAGAGAGGGACAATGGCAATTCCCTCTGCCACTTCCTGCCGCTGGGGCCTGCGCGGTCCGTCTCACTGCTAGCTCCTTCACCAGTTTATCAGCATGCCACTGTGTGACCGTACTCAGCCCTCAGTGGGTCCACCGCCTTGTACCCTCAGGGGGTCCAACGCCTTGTGCCCTCAGTGGGTCTGCCCACTACTCCACACCTGGGATCCACCCACAGCTGCTGGCACACCTGGGTCACACGCCCTGGTCGGTCTAGTGGATCTTTCCTGCCTGACCCTGCTCTGCTGCTGGCTCATCCCCTCTTACCAGTTTGGCTGAAGGGTTCATTGTTGTCAGACTTCCGTGTAGTTCAATTTTTTGTGGTTTGGCTGCATTTTTGTTGCTAAAACTTTGTTGTTTTTAAACTTGGTTGTGTGAGAAGGTGCAGTGCTTCCACCTACGCCTCCATCTTGGCGAAATACAAGTAGACATTCTTATAAGACTACAAAGTAATAACAGAGATCACTTTCTCATTGGGTGTAAGGGATATTAATTGTTCAATAAAAGGCTGCTCTGGCATTTGTGGCTCAGTGGATTGAGTGCCAGCCTGCTAAGCAAAGGGTTGGCAGTTCAATTCCCAGTCACAGCACATGCTGGGTTGTGGGACATGTTCCTGGTGGGAGGGGTGTGCGAGAGGCAACCACACATTAATGTTTCTCTCCCTTTCTTTCTCCTTTCCCCCTCTCTAAAAATAAATAAATAAATAAATAAATAAACAAATAAAATCTTTAAAATAAATAAATAAAGGGCTCAGGCTATAACATTAACCCAGGGATGAATTTTAGCAACCAGTTAATATGTATCTTCTCTGATATGAAGAAAATGCAATGTGAAGTACAATACATCACCTATGATATATCCTAGCTAAAACAAAAATAAACTTGAATGCATCAAGTTTCTAGTTTTAACTTTCAGATTCTACTTTCAGGGTTGAAGAACAAGTTGAATGGCAGGACAAGGTGGCAAGCAGAGAAACTCAGACTGTGGGGCAACCGACTGGATTTTCAACAAGTGGTGTTTGTTAAAAAGAAAAAAAGAAGGAGTGTGCTATATCACGGACTTGCGGGACATCATGATCAGATGCGAGGCATGGTCGCAGATTGAGTTGTAGGTTGAACAAATGAGATGTAGAGGGCATTTTGGGAACAAATCGTGGAATTCGGATATCAGTCAGGCATTACACAAGAGAAAACGTGTTGACACGGAAAGTTGGAGAATCTTAATAAAATAAGCAGATAAAGCAACATAGTATGCCTCATTTCAGTAACACATACACACACATAAATGTCTTGAGGGACATACAGTAAGTTGTTAATAATGGTAATTTCTTGGTGGTGGGAATATGGTGGGTTATTTCAGTCTTCTCAAATTTTTTGTAACTTTCCACAATGCACACATGCCTTTTAATAATAATAATAGAAGGAGGCAGTGACTGAAAGTGCAAAGAAGATGACTGAGGAGGCCTCTGTGGGAGGCAGTAAAGTACAGCACCTCCATCTGGGGCAGAAGTTCGACATCTGGGATGGAAGTCCAGAATCCTGGCCTTTTAATTCATCCACCGGACTGCACCCAACAGAGGGAGTAAGATTCCTGAGCAAGCCATCCCACATGGAACAGTTTTATGGACCATTTCCACCTTTTCGTGGATTCCATGAGAAGCAGTCCTACCTGCTCCTCCTCTGTGGGACCACAGAGCTGCTAGGACTTGTTATATTATCTGAGATTTCCATTGTTCAGGTCTAGTACCAGAGAAAGAGTTCTCAGGCTCCTACCACCCCCATCTGTTGTTGCCATCTAGGTATATAAACATGGAGGGAGGAATAAATGCTTCTGGAGAACGTGGCTCTTTGTTTTGTTTTTGGTTCCAAGTAGCTTTGAGGCAAAGCTGGGTTACTAGAAAGATATTATGCACATTAAGTAAGGCATTTGAAACTTAAATGTAACAAACCCACGAGAAAGTTTAGAGTGGACTCAGAGCTAGAGAATGGCTGAGCCCAGATGTAACCTGAGGACATCCAAAGTTAAACCCATCTCCTCCGGCAACTGGCAAAGCAGGAGACACACGTTTCAGGCCCCCAACTGGGCCCGTGATCAGATTTACCCTGGCTGGAGAGACCCCCTAGTCAAATTAACCACACATCAAAGCCACAAATTCCTTCCTTATCTTGGTGCTCTGTGGTTTCTAACTTTAACAGAATATAAAAAAAAAAGAAAAAGAAAATTGCACCCCCCCCCCAGACAGAAGCATTACCTGGGCCCATAGCACTATTCTTTGGAATTTCAGAGGAGAGTTATTAGATTGTAATTCCATGGCAGAACTATTAGGGCTCTGAGAATAATTTGCACCCTGGTTTTCTTTTACCATCCTCCTCTCCATTGTGAATTTTAATCCAAAAGAAATCCAAGTACTCAACCCAAGAATATCTGTCACTTAAAAGCAGCACTAGTAATAGAAACAAAATTATTTATAGCTAGAGATTGTTTTCTGTATTCCGAAGACTAAAGAAAACACACTAGATTGATTATCTTTGAAGTCCCTTGTAGCTCAAAAATTCTTGACTCCTGTGGTTGTAGCAGATGATGTATTTTAAGCACTTGTGCTCCCTCTAGAGGAGCAACAAAAATATCAGGGCTGGAGGCTTTGGTCAGAAGTTTTGAAGTTATTGATAGGAGGTGAAAGATGGAGCAAAAAAGAAAAAGGACTCATCATGGACACGGACAACAGGGTGGTGACTGCGGGGGGGGGAAGGGGCTACAAGGGGGATGAAGGGTAATGGAAAAAAATACAAAATCTTAAAATAACGTTGTCCAGTGAGGAATCACTCACCATAGCCCGTCCCCCCCAAAACAAACATTGTGTTGAACTTAAATTTTGGTGTCATTTTTAAAAGAGCAAGAATCCATTTGTAAATGATCAGAAAAACAAAGTTTTAAGTAACTATAATTTTTTTAAGTTTATTTATTTTGGACATAGGGGAAGGGAGGGACAGAGGGAGAGAAACATCATGTGGTTGCCTCTTGTGGGTCCCCTACTGGGTACCTGACCTGGTCAGCAACCCCGGCACGTGCCCTGACTAGGAATCAAACCAGCAACCTTTTGGTTCACAGGCCGGCACTCAATCCACTGAGCCACACGAGTCAGGACTAATTAACAGGGCTAATTTTTATGTTACAAAAGTAGTAATTCTCCACAATCATGACATTTTAATATGATTCCTGTTTCTACTTGGAAATATGTCCTTCCAGATTTGTCTGTTATACAATACACAGAAAAATGCATCCTGCCTTTTTCCTCTCATTGTACTTTCTACTTCAAAAGTCTGAAAAGCATGCAAAAGATAAGATAGTAAAGATTTGTCAGGCCAAAATCTAAATAAAAATGGGAATCTAAAGGGAAAACACAACATTGACATTGCTTTTGCCTCTGAAGACATCTGCCAACTAAGGAAACTTGTTTTTTATTTTTTAGCTCGCTCAAGGCCCACAAGTTCAGAAATTAAAATCTAAGTTCCAGTAAAGATGGGAAGTGTGATAGGAAATTTTTCTCCATAAAATTAGGGTCTCCAAAGGAGTACTTCCTCAGGTCGAGAGTGAATCAGAAGTAAACCTCTTTCACTCTAACCCCACCTCCAGAAAACTGTAAGAAAAATAAAATTCTGTGGTGTTGGACAGTACAGATGGAGAAAAGAAAAGATGACGGAAAACCCCTGTCTCTAGGAAGTTACAACCACCTGCTGGGGGGCCTGTGAGTTTGTAACACGTCGCCTGTATGGTCCAGAAAAGCCTCCTGCCCCGAACTGGTTATGTATAGCAGGCCCTGACTGACACGGGTCCTTGTGAAGGCACCACTATCCTAGGCATCAGAAAATCTCAGAAACAGGAGTGGTTAGCATATCAAGCTCACCAGGAAATGGGATGCCATATGCCAGAATCAGCAGAAACACACCTGCAGTGGCTTCAGGTGTCTTTCATTATCTAAAGTCTCATATTGAATTCCGGGAACCAAGTAGGCTTGGATTTACTCAAATTTCCACACTGTGCAAAATTTTGCCACACACTGCCCAAAGCCCCGAACTCAAGAACCTAATAGATTCAGATAATAGAACTCAATAAGTGAAAGGCAGACAACCTTTTATAAATGGGAAAAGGGTTTCACAAACAGGTCCCTCCAAGACATGGGTATCCAAAGGCCAATAAACATGGGAAAAGGTGCATCTCAGGGATACACAAATTAAAACAACAATGTGTTGTTAATCTACAGTCTCGGAATGGCTGAACTAAAATAGGACGGCAATGTGAGGTATCGGCGAGCATGCAGATTGACTAGAACCATCATGCACTGCTGTAGAAATCAGTACGGTCCATCTGGGAAGACAGCTTGGCAGTCTGTACTAGGGACGAAGCTTACAGCCTAGCATTTACATTCACAGTTACATCCCTGATAGCAATGCATGCTCATGTTCACGAACGATGTGTACGACAATGTTTATTACTATTTATAATAGCCCCTATTAGAAATAAATGCCTATCGACAACAGTATAAATTAATCTATCACAGTAAATTCATACAGTGGAATACAACACGCCACAACAATGAGAATAAGTAAAACATAAGTGTCTGAACAATATGGATAATTTCATGAACATAATACTGAATGAAAAAAGCCAAGTAGTATATATTGTGTGATTCTATTTATATAAAGCCCCAAAGCAGACACAATTAATATATATCAAGAAAGTGGCTACCCTTTGTGGGTGAGGTTAGTAGGTAAAAGGGGATTTGAGAGGGGGTGGGCTGGTGGTATTCTGTTTCTTGATATGAGTGCTGGTTACTTAGGTGTTTACTTTGTGAAATTAATTCCACTGTCCACTTATAATTTGTATGATTTTCTGTACATATATTTATACTTTAATAAAAATTGAAGCCTTTACAAAGAGACATTGAAGAAGACCTAAGTAAATTGAGAATATACTGAGGTGATCAATAGATCCAGGAAGCACCAATATCCCAGCAGGGTTTTGGGTTTTTTTCTGGTAGAACTTGGCAAGCTTGTTTTAAAATGTATGTATACAGAAACACAAAGCACTAAGATTAGCAGGGTCCACTTGCAAAAGCACTGGCTGGAAATACTTAGTGTGCTAAATATTGTAAAACTACAGTAACTAAGATAGTAGGCCAATGGAATCATATAGACAGACTAGAAATAGACATTCAAATTTGGACACTTGATATGCGACAGATGATACTTAATACCTAGGGGGAAAGGATAAGTGTTTCAATAAAAAGTTCAGTTGGAGACAACTGGTTATTTACATGAAAAAATACAAAACTGGATCTCTACATCACAACACACACAAAAAATTACAGGATGAGAACCCAGGAGTGAAAGGCAAAACTAGAAAGCTCTTATAAAATAATGTAGAAAACATTTCATGACTCCAGGTTAGGGAACATTTTCTCAAACAAGACATAAAAAAGCTGAACCATAAAAGAAAAGCTTAGTAAATTAGGTTCTAATAGAACAAAAACTTCTATTCATTGGAAGTCACCATAGAGAGACTGAGAAGAGAGACTACAGAATGGGAAAAGGTCTTCCCAACACACATAACAAAGTAACAGCAGACATGACATCTGCAAATTGATGAGAAAAGACAGACAGGAAAAACCTAGGCAAAGGGCTTTGAACAGAAGTTTTATCAGAAGACAATTTCCAAACAGCCAATAAATGTATGGAAAGGTGTGCAACATCACCATTATTAGCAAGGAAAACACATTAAAATCTCCATGATATACCATTACAGTTTTATCAGAATGGAGAAAATAAGAAGTGACAAAGACAGGGAGCAATGGGAGCTATCAAACAACGCTGGTGGTCGTGTAAATAGGAAAACAATTTTTGTAATACAATAAAGTCGAAGATGCACATACCCTACAATTCAGCAATTGCACTCCTGGGCATATGCCTTAAACATACTTGTTTACGTGTCCAGTACAATACATGGTAAGAATAGTCAAAGCAGCATTATTTGTAACAGGCAAATCTGGAAACAACCCAAATGGTCATCCCCAGCATAGGATATATCTGTGCAACAGAATCCTATTTGGCAATGAAAATGTGTGAACAGCAGCTCACATACAGTGAGGCTGAATTTCAAACATAGCAGGTAGTGGATGCACTGGCCTGTCCAGATCCCCTTTGCCAGGCCAGTGTACCCACCCCTCAGCTCCTGCATGTATTGATTGATAATGGCTCACAACTGGCCACTGCTCCAGAAAACTGCCCTTAGCCCAAAGGGTACCTACCCTTCAGCACACTCTGGCCAAGACTTCTTAGTGACATGCAGTCACCGCGTCCCCGTAGGACTAACACTGTGATGGTATTCATATTCCAGAGCTCCTGTGGGTGTCAGGTTGAAGGGAGACCTCATCGTTGCCTAGTTCCTGGCCCTGCCCTGTCCTGTGTCCCTCACCACCTTTTTCCTGATGTAGACCTGACTCCCTGTCCTTGCCTCTGCATGTGAGGAATCCAACTTGAGACATATTGCTAAGCTAGAGAGAAAAACATGAAAGAGTACATGTATTATGGTACACAGATGTAGCAAACAAAGAAAAACAGAGTCAGGATGGTGTTTGCCCCACAAGATGCGATCAGGGGAGGCATGTGGAGCTTCTGGTCCCTGCGATGTTCTCTTTCTTGACCAGCTCTGTATCTGCATAACTGTTTCCTTTATAATTATTATTTACTGTAAATGCATGTTTTATGCACTATTTAGTATGTGTTATATACATGAAAGGAAAATTTTCTGAGTAATTGAAGTTTCTTTTTAGTTTTCAACTTCAATAAACATGTATTTCCTAATCAGAGAAGATGAACTGTTCAGTTTCTGCTTTCTTATATTTGTTGAGATATTCCTTGTATCCTAATATTCAATCAAGGCTTCTAACTATTTCATGTATCATATTTATCAATAAAATATGCTGGATTTATATGTAATTTCTATATCCAATAATTTAGTAGTAGTATGTTTTCTATGGCTGCAGGAAAAATCATCCCCAAATTTAGTAGCTTAAAACACTTTTCGGCCTGAGCAGCTGCAGGGGCTGCGGAGCCTATGGGCCAAGCCTGCTGTCCTGCTCCACCTCTGCCTGGGCTGCGGGGATGGGCAGGTCCAGGA